GTGTTTGTATGGCATATCTTATTTGTAGAAGAGCCATAGGATTTGTAACTCTGACGTCAGGAATAGAGCACTGGTTAAAAATGCCAATAAGTGGATGAAGTCATGAATTTACGACGACTAAGGTGGGTCGGACATAACTTGCATAAACTCACTAAAAATCTAAATTGATATGCTATATTATCCCAAGTAGGAATCGGTTGTAAGAAACATCATGTCGTCCAAACCAACTTATGCCATCAACCCAGTGAGTCTCCCTCTTTAGATTTCTAGACAATACATCAAGAAATCAACGTATAACCTTGGACACGAGTGCATCAGCTCAAGTTGTCACACTTCGCAGTAGTGCAAAAAAATAGGTGGATAGAGAAAGAGTAATACCAATATAGATATAGTATGAGAGGATAAACAATCTGAAGGTAAACATAAGTGTGAATATTCAAGTTTTGGGAGATTTAAAGCAGTGAACAGATCTACATCACTGCCATCAATCCTCAGCCATGTCAACAAGAGTTCCCAACCACTGATTTCCATCGTCTCGGAGACCCCAGCAAGACGGTCTACATCTACCCACATGCCTCAGATCGACAGTCAGCCACTCCATGGACCGGTGCTGCATCCTAGTCTGGTGACCCTGAACCATCTTCCAACCTAATCCCACTTCCCTCAGCATGAGTAGCAAGTGCCCAAGCCATCTGAGTCGACTACGGTTCACAACCTAGTAGCTTAACTTAACACCAACATTCCCTATACAATGTTTATACCACGCGTAATCACTGCTACGAAGACACCTATGATCAAGACCCTGTAACTGCTTCATGTCTTCTACTTTTAACAGCCATGCGTTACATCCGTATAACAGGACAGAATGAATTGTAACACTATGTACTTGTTCTTTAGAAGACAGTCAGTTGTCTCACCGATCGGTGCCCCATATGATGCAAGTTGGCATATGCTAAACTGGCCTTTTGCATCCGGGTCGACATTTTGTCAGCAATCAGCCCTTTTCGGCTGTTCAAGATGTTCCACCACTTCATTCCCTATTACTAGACTGGGAGTATTTGGAGCAAACCAGTCTTGGAACACCATCTTACATTTGACAGGTGCCAGTGAAACACATGCTGGACATATTCGTGTTTCTGCTCAACGTGTCCAGAATACTCTGCATCTTGTCGCCATCTTCACCCAGCAGGACAATATTGTCTGCATATTCCAAGTCAGACAAATGTCCTTCAGGTAGTAGGTCGATCGATTTCTACGAAATCAGGCCCAGCTAAGTTTATGTCCGTGTGTACGTCTATAATGAGTTTTAAATAGGAACGTCGTCAGCGGGCATGCGTGGCGGACACCACTAGTTGTTGTCAGCTCTGATGACAACTCTCCATAAGTCCTTACACATATGTAAGAGTTTGAGTAGAGAGCTTTGATTAATGTTAAGTACTTGCTCCATACTTACTACCCATTCGAACTCTGCCACAACACCCCATGGTCGGCAGAGTCAAATGTCGCCTTTAGGTGGAGAAAAATATGTCGTGTCGGCCCTAGTGAGCAGACAATGTGTAGGTAGCCCTGCCCGACTTGAATTATGTGATTCTTAGGACTTGTTAGAAGGGCATGTCAGCAACCTTAAGGGAAATGGTTCCCCCTTTAGAGATAAGGACCTGTATCCCCCAGTGCTGAAGATAGACATCTTACCATTAAATTTCCAGGCTCAAATAACCTCCTGTATTACAGGATTTTCTTTATAAATGGAACCAGAACCACTAATCTGCTATCCCTATAGTAATCAGGTTTTTCACAGCAAAGTAACTAATGACAAGTTGAAAACTTTGTTCTTCTTGGACCTAAAAATTATGTGTATAATGATCATGTTATGTCTGTGAGATTTATCCCTCCTAGTCGTAAACTGATCAAATCTTGAATAAAAATTACTGCAGAAAGTTTTATTTATTAGCTTGACAGAAATAAGAGCAGATATTTTAGCATACTATGAATTTCACAGTCTGTTGGATCGAAGAAGGTTAGTTGATATGTTGAAAGATCCCTTGAATTCATAATCAATATGCAAAATATCCAGCAGCTCTACTCTGGTCACAGTAAAGCACTTGCACAAAAAACAATTGTCACATACCTCTATCAAAAATGCCAACAACTTCATTTTCAGTAACTTCTCCGTAAGAGCATCTCTTACTACTTTTTATTACTACTGCACAGAAATAATGGAACAAAAGCTTTCCAAGGATAACCCCGGCTTCCAAGATCTATTAACTAATAAGTCAGCAGCAGTAAAAGTATCATTAAGTAGTCAGCCCTCAATGTAACACTGAAGTTTACGAAATATAAATTATATTATCATGAGATGTGTCGTACCAACACTTTTTGAGTGTTCTTGTAATGATATTCTCAACAAATAACTTTCAAGAAAAACCTAGAACACTGAAAATATTTTCATACTAAAAGATGAGAAATAACGTTTAACGTAAACTTATTCAGACACTGATTGGATGTACAATGATTTTAGCTGCCAATTAATGACAGCATGCGCAGTTAATAGAAATGAGGCAAAGAAGCATTCCATCAGGCAATTTTTTGTTCTATTCATGGCTCAGTGTAATCTAGAAACATGAGAATTAAAATCACTGAGATAAATAAGCCATAAGTTGTCTTTTTACTTAACCAGCATTCGACAAATAAGTAAACGTGTAATGTAACTGAATAAAATTCGTGATATAAACTTTCACTTCTTTCAAACATGTCTGTAGACTACTGCTAATACACGTTGTACAGTTTTTCAGCAGAATATAAAATATAGATGTACTTTCAAGACAGATTCCGGTTTTGGGTTTATTCAAAATCTTCAACTGATATAAACCATAAAGGTTTTGAATAAGTGCTATTTCAATAATCTGGTTGAGATTTTTGGACTGTTCTTAGAAGTTTTTAAAAATATGAACAGAGGATTCATGATTGGAAAACTTAGATGCTCACTGTATAAAACCTATTTCATTGCTTTCTAAAATGCAGTATAACGAATCAATAACTTACGTTTTCATTCATTCTTATTTTGGTGACTAGCACTTTAGAAAATATCAGTTCTGTTAATTTCACAAGATTCATGCACTTGTTCGGAATTACAAAATCAGATACAAAAAGAAGTTGAATATAGAACATAAATCTCACATTGTGCCCAGAAGTTATCGACTGAAACTAACAATATATGTTAGCAGCCTATATATAGCTGATTTATCTTACATTTAAGGCATTTATTTAGCGATGGAGTTAAAGTATATTCCTCACCATAGATTTGCAACAACAAATAAGTTAAACTTTAGTTTTTTAGCTTGTTTTTTGAGGCTACAGTGACATCTAATGCCTTAGATATTGCAATGTTCAGTAGACTCGATGGTGAGATATCCAACACGTTGAATGACGTTTCAGTAATTTGCATGGGAGAAGTATAGAAAACCACTATCTGGAGTGTTTAAAGTAGAGATGGTAATGAAAATAAGAAATCTATATTTTTCAAACCATTCTCTTTTGTGCCAGAGATATGAAGATGATTTAAATGGTTTGGTATACACGTTTTCGAGAGACTTTTCAGACTAAGACACTAATTGGTCAATGAATAAATAATTCTAGTGGTTCCAGACAAAATTATAAGTTACTATTTTAGGTTAGAAACCTGTATAGTAAACCCTACATCGTTTTATCGAGACATTCGAATTATTTTTCACTCATAACCAATTCATCTCCCTCAACTCAAAGTTAATTTAGTTCTCCATCTGTTAAACGGGACTGTAGCTGCAAATAACTCCCCAAAATCAATAGCCTTGGATTTGACAAGATTTAACACTGATGCCAACCTTCATGGTCTCAACGGACTCGCTAAGCTGACGGCACATGGTCAGACACTTAGGCCATTTAGTACGTCTCTTCGATACGTTACGCTGTTCGTACGCGATCCCCCAACCAACTGGTTGGAAAGCATCGGTATTTTGACGTGGCCTATCAAATATGCTATTCTACCTAGGTACTCTAGTGTTTTCTTTCTTATTCTTGCACTTGTGGGTATTTTACAAGTATGAATAATTAGTGATTGGCCTCTGGGTCTTTTAAATTCCCAAAAGACCACTGCTCACAGAACTACTAATTACAACTTTGGATTTTAAGCCCCTTTTCTACTCATTCTCTTACAAGATTTATGTTCGTGATTGTGGGGATAAAGCAAGCCGGATAGAAATCTGACCGACTTCTGCAATCAGCTCACTTTTCAACATATATGTTTTAACTTGTAGTGTGGCTCCTTAACACCAAAATACTGCTAGGTCCTAAATAAATAAATAATAGCTCAATAGTCTTTTATAGCGCCTACCGGTGACTTTATTTCTCTAAGTTTATTTTAGCTTGTAGATGTCCAGCAGTCGAAATTCGCAGTTGTTGCATCCTTTTGTGCCGGTCAGCAGCAGTGAGCTCCGGCTTAGCCACTAACCAACGGAAAAGTTAACATTCTTTCTCTAATATAACCTCTTTACTTCTGACCAATCAATAAACTGCTCATCTAAGCACTTTTTACCAGGCAATTTATTTTACAATTTGTGTTTTGTTATTGCTGCTTGCAGTTGGGTGGGGCAGTGATTAGCTTAGTATCGAATCATACTGATTTGCTTTAGGCTGGTGAAGTGTTAAACAATAGTAGTACAACCAGACCTGTACAAACTCGTGAGGGGAATGTCCTTAGTTTTGCATGACTAACTGCAGATATCTCAGCCTTATAAGCTAGCAAGCAGTACACTTAACGAATGTTATGGTTTGTCATAGCCTTTTTTAATGATCTTCATGCATATGTTGGCAAGTAGTATCAAATTAATTGTTCTGTAATTATTACTGTCAGTCATGCTCCATGTCCACGGACAGATCATCACTATGTGTCTCGTATCCTTCACCTCTCTGGTTAACTAAATTTACTTTTTTTCTAGGTATTCTTTTTACGGAAATTCACTTACTTTTAGACAACTTGTATACAACTTATCAGGGAAATCATAGTGTAATATTTTCCCAGCCCTTTCACTCATATGAAGATGATAACTTGAAGGAGTTAGCACCGTAAAGCGGTCTTCATAGGAGTTGGGCTCCTTGCATTTCACCCTTGCATTAAGTATGATAACACAGTCACCTGCAACATAATTAATATAAAGTAAAAATCTTAAAATACCAACCAATGGTAAACTGAGATGCAATATAGCTAACATTTGAAAATGTCCCCCAGTAACTTCCATTTATCCAGTCCGATGCGCTGTCTCTCAAAGTGAATCCCAATACCGCTTGGCTCCCTGTTGATCCCAAAATGTTGGAAGTGCATCGTCTCACTGACTGCTTCTGAAGAACGACGCCTAATACGTTTATCTTCGAGTCTTTTTCTGTTATATTCCGTATTGCTATCGTTTTGACATTGTTTTGGTAGCTGTCTCGTGACACTTTCTCAAACTTGTACATCAAACGAAAAAAGGACGCAATAACCAGTGGATATTTCGATATTCCGCCTAACGTCTATTCTTGTAAGGTCAAAAGTAGTGATGTCTTATATCCAATATCCGAATGATTCATACGGTTGTCGATGGAAACGTTTTCGCTTAACCGGCCCCTCATCTAGACTCAGTGGATCACCGGTTCTAGCGATTGTTAACCTGTCTATAAATAAAGAGCGACGAAAAAGTGTCCTCTAAAGTATTGTAGCGCACATACTTCTCCAGAATCAATAGCTTAGGGTTCGACGAGATTCAACACTGATGCTGACCCTGATAGTTTTACTGGACTCGTTAAGCTGGAGGCAAACGATCAAGCGTCCTCGCCATTCGTCACGTTGTCGTGTTATGTTGCACTGCTCGTAGTCGACCCTGTACCCCTTTAGTTGGAACACATCGGTATCTTGGCACGACCTCGCAAATATACTCTTCCACCCGACAACGCTGTTGTGTTCTTTTTTGGTCTCGCATTCGTGAGTATGTAAAGAGTCTGAATAATTAGTGACCGGCCTCTGCGTCTGTCAAGTTCGCACCAGGACAATTCCTAAAATATGAAAATCGATTTATTATTGAGTAAGCTCCCACCCACACTATAGGTATGTTTCAAATTGACCTTCAATGGATTCAGACGAAGTGGTGTTAGCCAATTCTGGGGGGAAAGCGTCCCAAGATTCAACAACTCTTAGGGACTAGAAGCTGGGTCCAGCATTAGACCTGACGTGTTCTGAGCTTCTTCGCATGTCCTCTAATATTGGATTCACTACTAATATCCAGCAGGTGGAAGGCTGGGTGTCAACGGGTGTTTAGAATACTGCTAGCCCTTGGCAAGCCCCCTCCTAGTTTTTCACACTCCATGGGATGTAGACCAGCCGTCCTTCATACGTTATGAACCTACGTCTTGGAACAAATTTAGTTGACCATCTCTAGGTGCGTTCTATGCTGAATTTGCCCTTCTACAGAGAGGACGGCAAGACCGTAATCCGGAACTTCAGAGAGGTCATACGAAAATGCTAGATATTTGATGAAAATGTCTGCGATCGAATTGCCCGAAAACGTGTCCAATAGCTACTAACGCCAGCTTTCCATGAAGCGCGTTTCTACCACAGTTGGAACAGGACTTTAAGTCTGGAGGGGCTAAAATGCCTAATTCCTCCTCCGTCTGTGGAACAGGATGAAATGTCAGGGACTTGAGGGACTAAAATGCCTTCTTCATCCGCGACACCCCAGGCTCCATGCCGCTGATGCTATATACACGGCATGCGTCGTGTTTAAAATGCACAACTTCGCATTTTTCAGGACTGATCGCAAGCCCGTTATGGTCGCCGAGTTATGAAGTTGGATTAGGTTTTCCTGTAGGGAAACACCATTCTTCTGACTTCTGATTTCCCTCGACACGTCACGTCATTGACAAAAAGAAAGATATCAGTAGGAACCCGATCACGCGAGTCGTTCAAGTAAATTAAAAGATGAGGACGCCTTAGTGCTTCTCCTCAAAATACTCCACCAGGACTTTCCGTTCCTTCATACATAGAAAACCTTACCGAAACTGAAGTTAAACGGCCACAAGGATTTGAGGACGACTGGTCTATGCTCAGTGGTTTGAGCCCGAATAATTTTGATCCATTAATAAGGCGATTGCGGCTAACACGACCAAACGCTTTAGAAGTCTAGATAAGTAACATAACTCCATTCCCGACTATCGATAATGCTAGTCCGTCTGTGGGCAGTGGTCAGCAGGATGGTAACGTGGGAGTACCCTTCTCTAAATCCGCGTTGTTGGGTGCAAAGAAGTTAGCCACTATAAAGGTACAGATCAGGGCTTTTGTACTTCTCTGGGTTGCCCCGCTGGCCTTCTGTGAACGTTGACGTTACATGGCTCAACCTCCAAAGATTGGCCACCTTCTCTTAACTTTCAGAATCCTCAACCAACCCTCCCAGGCGTTCAGTTACGATCGATGCTACTTGTCACGAAACTACTGGACCGATTCTTTCCGACCGGCTGAGGAATCTTTTGTGGGAAGTAGCAGTTTGGTCAACGCTTAAGCCGGTAACCAAGGCTTCTACCTGGCAAGTGGAAGTTTCGTGAAATTCTGAGTAAGTGGCGGATGATGGAACCATTTGCGAATGCTGATCAGACAAAAGTTCAGCTTCTTCGGTTTCGCTAACAGTCAGCCCACCGGCCCCTAATACTTGAGAGGCCCTGCTTTAGCTTTCCGACGCAATGCAGCATAGCAATACACGACCATCGCGTTGGAGAGGAAAGGGCGGGCCTAACTTGATGCCTCTGCCAGTGGGCTCTCAAACGTCCGGGCGCGTGCTTCTCGTCTGCTCAGATATTTTGCATGTGTTGGTGACCATTCCCATTGCGTTCAGCCCGGTGATGTCCCCTTGGCCCAAGTACTTTACGAGTAGAGTCACCTATTGCAGTGGATGACGTGGGGCAGTTAGTGGAACAGACCGGCCGGTGGCATGCATTCTCTTGTCAGGTATGAATCTTCAACAGGTGTTTGCACACTTCCCATGTATATTGAGTTTCCCAACCTATCTGTTCCGGAGGCGTCCAGGTGTCTGGCATGTTTGGCTTCCTGAAGATCCAATGGTACCGCTTTAAAGGCTGGGCTAGTTTAGTCTTGTGGTCCCGCTGGAAGCCAGTAACAACGTGGTCACTCTCGTCCAATGGATGGAAGATTTCTAAACTGTCAACCAAAACTTTTTTATTCGTGAGGGTGAGGTCCAAGCAGGATGAGATTTGAGTCGCTTTCCGCCACGTTACTGGTGTTACGTTTTCAGTAGGCACACGATCTCTCATGATGTTGAATGATCGGTTTTCAATCTAATCGTCACCTCTACTAAATTTATGATCTGCGAAGTTAACCTTCGGTGGGTTTAAACCTACTGGAATGGAAACGTGTGCCCCAGCTTAAGGGGGTGACCGATTCCCTATGGTATTTGATAGTCACGCTGCACGTCGGCGTACGGCCTCCCTACCGGGCGCTTGGTAGCCCTGGAATGGATTTACGGAACACCAGATGGACTCCTGAAAATGGTCTTACGGACTTAGCGAGCTGTAAGAGAAGAGCTAACGAGAGTAACTGCCTTCTTACCATGCTGCCTCCCTTGTATTTGCGCGACAACATGGTGCTGATGACAGACAACTCCCGCTCTGACATTACACAGGAGCCCAATATCTGTATTGAGACCTTTAGGAACAAACCTATTTCTTCGTGCCCGCTTCATATCCCGGGGAACGGTTTCAGGTCTTTGCTGGAGTTTGATGCGATAAAAACACTCACTCACTTGCAGTGGTTTCAGCGGCCCCAACCGATGTACGTCATTTAAATTTATGGCAAGGTGTCCCATGACTGCGGTGCAGATTAGAAGCGTCCATGCGACAAAAGTACCTGACTGCCGTGCATCAGCAATTTAGCAGGCAGCTGCTAAATTTCTAGGGTGATTTGCCCTGGAACTGCAGTGCATGCTTGTTCCTCAGATCTCGTGTCCCCAGACAGCCGCTCCAACTAGTCGTAAAAAGAGAATGAATACATGACTAGCAAGAACAGGGAGGAGGAGGTGGGAGGGAGTAGGGAAGAAAGGGAGAAACATTAGGCAAATTCGAGGAGGACGGGAGGAAAATGGATATGTGGGGGACGTTAGTGAGTACAATGCAGATATTGAAGGTCAGGGTTAAAAAGAGAAGCAGGGGAAGTCACAACTGAGATAATGCGCACAAAGATTATGAAAATATTAGCGTTGTGGTAGGTGTAGAGGTAGGATGTTAAATAGGCTGACACGCGACCGAGTTGAATCCATACAAATGGTCGCAATAGGCGAAAATCGCTAAGGGGATTATTGTGTTTAATAATAATGATGACATTCTTCAAACGACGTGGGTTACGTGAAGGCAGGCCAGCCTACAGGTATGATCAGTTTAGTATTATGAAGTCATCATTATCATCGACAGCACGCGATGCATTGGAAATCATTATTTAAGGCATATGGGAGATGATCTTAAAGATAGAACGCTACTGTTTCGTAGATAACAAAGAATAAAGCTGCTGGCCATCAGCATTGAGCTCGAAAACAATGGGTATGTACTATAAAGTGACACTGCTGCATTTTTCGTGACCTTCAGACAACTGATATCACGACAGAGTTCAATGTCCCCCCCTTCTGTACCACTCAGGACGGCTCAAATTTGTGGATTTCTCTGCCATTGCCAACTTTATGGTGCCTGTAAATCGGCTTCTCTCGTGCTAACTTCATAACCTGAGAGTAAAATATTTGTCTATTTACTACCATTTTTCAGCGGATTAAAACAGGCTTAGTTCGAAGCCATGAATTATTCGAACATCGTCTGAGCCATAGAACGTGCTTGAGAAAATATATTCGAAATACATCACTATTGTCAGATTGCGGCTGACAGCCGTGACCCGGAGCCCTATGCCTTCTCTACGAAGTTCTTATGACATGGCAAATGCTGAAGCTTACGAATTCTGCGAGAACGAAGATCCGGCCAATCTGACCTGAAGAATCAAAAAAGGGGAGCAGAGGGGTCAGACTCAAAATAGAAGCATTAAACACCACATGAAACTAAGCCACTCGGTTAACTGCGGTAGCCTCAAAAATTAATTGATGCAGTGTCCCAAACCAGCTGTTTGAAGAGCAGCTTATGGGAAAGAAGACAAGGTCGCGTGTGAAAATAATTTAAACGAAACTGGAGATGAAGATATTACGATGGAATGGAGAGGAGGGAGGATATGAGGTTGGGGATGTGCACCTTTGCTAAGAACTGATGTGCATAAGCGAAACGCGCTTGTAGCCATTTAAGTTAAGCCCATGCCTTTGGCTATGGTGACAAACACCATCATAAATGCGAGGGCCGCAGGCTTTCTAATTCTAATTCCTTCACTGTGCGACATAAGTCCCTGTCTGTCCAGTAAAATCGTAAAATGTCACCACAGTATGTATTTCCACAAATTTGTGCACCCGCTTCCTGGAAAAACGTCATTACCATTAGCGACACTAACCTCAGCA